GTTGATTCAACATTGATACCTCAAGGTTGATTCAACCTTGATGGTTCAACATTGAGTCAACTTTCATAGTCAACGTCATATCAACATAGTTTCAACGTTGACCGTCAACGTTGATTCAACATTGATACCTCAAGGTTGATTTAACCTTGATGGTTCAACGTTGAGTCAACTTTCATAGTCAATGTCATATCAACATAGTTTCAACGTTGACCGTCAACGTTGATTCAACATTGATACCTCAAGGTTGATTCAACCTTGATGGTTCAACGTTGATTCAACTTTCATAGTCAACGTCATATCAACATAGTTTCAACGTTGACTGTCAATGTTGATTCAACATTGAGACCTCAAGGTTGATTCAACCTTGATGGTTCAACGTTGAGTCAACTTTCATAGTCATTGTCATATCAACATAGTTTCAACGTTGACCATCAACGTTGATTCAACATTGATTCAATGTTGATTTACCCGCTGGGTACCTGTGTGTTGCACTTTATACAAACGAATAAGTGCGCTGGCTGAATAAAGACAGCATATCTGTAGTGGTTTCAATGATCTGATGAAGCCCCTTCTCCTATATGTTAACTATCATGATATCAGGTTGGTTGAAATCAACTCTTTCTCGGAGCACACCATCAAATGGCAGTTAAAAGTCGAGCATAGTTGAAACAGAACTTTCTGGAGGGGTGGTTCACCATACTAAGGTGGACTTTTAGGTATATAGAACAGCAGTAGGTCTTTATTGTCCGATATGTGTATAATTATCTCCATATTAGTAAAAAAATGGATGATGATTAAAAGTTCGTCTGGGTGCAAATTAAAACTCTGCACGAATATCTGTGCATGCGCCTCTGAATAGACATTTGTGATTATTGTTGTAATGACGCTGCATTGTGTCAATGAACATCTTATTCATTTATATTGTTATGCGTGGAGATGTTGCAAAAGTGTAATAGTCATAAATTGAGAAGACACAGTTAAAAAAAGAACATTTTTTTGTTGCCCGCCTCACTATATCCAAACGCAACAATCATTGTAATTTTCCCCATCATAAATTCACAGTTATCTCTCTTCGACCGTGTCCACCTTCCGGTCACACACACCTGTGTCGTACTTTTAACTTTCATTATCGTGGTCACTCCGCTGACCACTGTCCACTGAACGCTGAGTGTCCAGTAGCAGCCTGCTATATCGCTCCTTGTACAGACACGTGGCAGGTACTCCGAGAGCAACCGCGGCGACCATCGCCCAGTTCATGTACTCTTTGTCTGAAATTAGAGGAGGCAATTGCAAAGAAAATCCAGCATTTGACAGGCAATAATATAATAATATAACTAAATGATAATTTAACGATCTTCCTATCTCCGATATCAAACACTTCTTACGAGTAACACGTTAGACACTACATTGATTCTTTAAGAGTTTTAGCCAACTATTCGATTAAACTTGCTAACACCAGGTCATAATCCAAGCTATATAATAGAGAGAATGAGAGTGATGGCATTTTCACGGCATTTTCATGGCTTAAGGGGATAACAACGCTTCATTAGATTCAAAATTCCACAACAAATGTATTGTAAACATCACATTGGAATATAAAAAATTCAATTTTATCACCAAAATAATTTTTTATGAAAGTTGTGGACATTCATAGATGATTCACCCCCGTAATATAATCTTAAGAGATTATTACCGAAAACACACTTAAAAATAATCGACTAACTTCGAATGTGGGAAGGGATTCACCAACCATTGATAAGTATGGGACCATCGTCATTTATCCCCTAGAATATGCGTTTCACGGCACTTCCCCGACAAAAAAAAGGTTGCTATCCCTTTAATTAGGAACGAAATTAACTATAAGCAATAACAACGGGTTTTATAAAGAAGACACAATGTAAACGATCTCTTTCAATGTACATTTGTGGTTAGGAGTACATGTTAGTCTCTGAGGAGCATCAACATGGCCGTTGATTCCAACATGGCGTTTAGACGGTAAATAGAGTCCCGGCGTTTTACAACTTACAGTGCACAAATCACGCAAACAGAATATCCATTTTTCATATAAAATTAACGATAAACTCACCGTCCGGAATAAACATGAAAATGAGTAGAAAGGCACCGGCAAATATATTGTTTATTATCCCTAGAAATGTGGTGGTGATCCCCTCGGCCACGGGATAGCTTGCTTCACACGCCAACTCAAAACAAAGACACGGGAAACCTAACTGGAACATGCCTCCAAGAATTATGGCGGCATAAATCATGACTAAAAAAAAAGAAATGTGACGTTACACATCTGTGGCAAAGTTAACGTCTAAACTACTTTAGATTGGAAATTGGTTAAAAACAATTCATTTCACTGTTAAAGTCATGGCCGCAGTCGGGTTTCCATTAATTTTTGGTTCTGATGATTCAAAAACCTACTATGAATACCCTTCCCGTAATAATACTCTGAATGAACTCGGTATTCCTTCTTGATTCTGCATTTACCACAGCAGCAAAAATGAATGTATATAAAATTCTACCAAAAATGTTGTTCTCACCTTTCCACCCAGGCGTGTGAAAATCGACAAACTTTAAGAGCACCGCAAACCATGCGAAGGCGGCCGTGGCGAGAACCAACAAAGCCAACACCAGAACCTTCAAGTGCCCCACGAAAACGTCTGCGAACCTGTGGAAGTGAAAATACGTAGTAAACCGCATGCGGCGCTTTTAGTCAACCAGCAGATCAGATCAGCTACTAGTCCATATTGCTTTAAATCTTATACAATGCTATCTCTATAAAATGTGTGCTTGACAGACTGGCACAACAAACGCCCTAAATCAATAACAATGGCAGAAGGGACGACCTAGTGATTAGATATGATTTTAATAGTGAAGATGTTATAAATAAACGGTTCGCAAGGTAAATAGAAATTAAATGAAGCCTTTTGGGAACGACTGAGACAATATAGGTTTGTGAACTGAAACACAATCGAATACCTTGCTAGAATCACAGCAAAAACCACACCTGCAATCATGCTCCAAAAACCAAGAAATGCTGCATCTTTCTAAAATATTAGACAGATAGAAAGCAGTTCAGAGTGAGTTGTTTCTTTGAAGAGCATGCAATGTTTATATAATAGCTCAACCTATCGTACACAACTGAACTTCAATCAAATTCTACAGAAATTCAGAAGCGAGATGCGAGCGTGTATGGACATTTCAAAATGAAGACTTTGGCCCGCGTTGAGTCTGAGTAATCAACTTGTAAACTCAAAAATACTGTTTAACGCATCAAATAAGTTATCTCACTGTTTTTCAATAAATCAAAACCATAATTTATATAAATCATGATGTGTATGTGAATAACACTGTCCTACCTCAGACACATCAGAGTGGTGCTGAAGGTTCACACCCAGTACGGAGCTCCACGTGGCATAAACACCCGAAAGGCCGTATGGGGTGGCAATAAGCCACACCTGGGGTTTTCTGAAACATGGACAGGGGAGACGCAACACAAATCTTTCAACAATACAATGAGGGGAAATATGATTTTCAAACTGTTTCATTAACAAATAATGATATAAAGCAATGATATATATATGCCCAATCTTACTGCAAGGAGAGGCCAATCAATGATTCATGAGTGAGAAAAATTATTTTTGCTCGCAGAAAATTCGATTTGCCGGGATAGTCTTCGATAAAGTACCTTTAAATGGTACACGGCGGGGTTTTATGTACGCCCAAACAGTGCTTAGACAGGGCACTTCCCTCATTCACCTTGTTTTCTATGCCAAAATACAAGGCAGCGAGAGAGAGAGAGAGAGAGAGAGAGAGAGAGAGAGTAAATGATCCAAAATAGTTTTATTGATTCTGTAGCAAGTTCAAAGCAAAATATCGTGCGAACACACGCACTGCGGACTATTTTTCGTTAGCGTATGTATCTTTGAATTAATCACGACTTACACGCACGCACTGATTTCTTCAACTGGGATTTTTAATAGATGGCAAAGTGAATATGAAACATCACTTTCCTTAAACATCTCAAATTTCATAACAGTATCTTCAAAACTGTTGAAGTAATTGGACTTTAAAATAAGTAGTGTTTTAGCCACCCGACATTTTCATTTGTTAAAATTTAAAAGTACATTACTGTTTTGCACCCGCTAGCCTCTACGTGCAAGAAGCCATATTTTAATCATTGTCTGCTACGTGTTTTACATTTTTTATGACTTCACAATGTGTAACTGTATTTCAGCTGTATAATTTGAGAGGATGGTTCGTACTATGTAATCAATTATTTTTTTACAAATAACTTATAGAGGAGTATTTAAATGAAAAAATAAACTGATATATAAATGAATGAATACAACTGAATAGACCAATAAAAAGGCAAACTAATAAATGGAGAAAGCTTTGATCTCGCATTCCCCTGTTTTCACTGTCAAGATACGTCGCAGCGAAAGATAGAAAGACCGAAATGAATTATCAACAAGCTTCATTGGTTTTGTAGTAGGTTCAAATCTTGTTGAATACTGTATGATACGGACCTTTTTCATACGCGCGTGTACATGCGTCTTTGAATCAATCGCGACTTACGTACTGATTTCTTCCACTGGGAGTTTAACGGAGGGAAAGTAAAATAGTGACTCATGACACCCTAAATCCGACAGTATGGCACTGCCTCTCGTTAAGGATCTGGGGCCGTATTCTGGAGTTTTACATTAGACATGTTTACGTGAAGAGCACTACAGAAGAGTAGTTAAAAGGCGAGAATCCCATTCACATTCTGGTAAACACAGAAGTTAAATTGATAATGCTCCCATCAACGCTGCCAGGATTTTTTTTATTTAAATATTTGTTTGTCAGTTTATTGGTGCACTTATTTGTGTTCATTCATTTATTTTTCAACTTATTTAATCATTTGTATGCCCATCTATATATTATTTGTCGAACTTAAGGACCTGCATTGTACCAACCACCAACTTACGTTATACAACTTAGGTACAGTTACCCAATTTCAAGTCATTAAAATTGTATAGCACGTAGTAGAAAATATTGAAAATATGACTTCTTACACGAAGAGACTAGCGACTAGAGCATAATAATAACGTTCTTTTTAATACTAACAAATTAACAAAGGCCTATTGTACTCGAGTGATTATGGGTATTCTTGGTAGTCTTATATTGCATTTGCATGACATCAAAGAAAGAAGGGAATCATACTTGACTAACGCCAGCAGTCCAGAGAAGTAACTTGTTCTGGTTTCAGCAGCGGTCACGCTGGGAGGCGTGGGTGGTTTGGCGGGAAAGTATACAATTATGGCTAAGAATACTGCCACTGCGATCCCAGCCTCTGAAACATGGACAATGTGAATAATTAGATGCCTGTTTGGCCATGCTCTATTCACATTCTGTTTTAAAAGACGACCAAGTATATACTAAGTGTAACTGCACAGGGAAAAAAGGTCTCTTTGTTACGATGACTTTGTTGTCTACTCGTCCTCTGGAGACAACATGTTGTGGGGAACACCCTTAAGAACTTCTCCACCCCTGTGAGAAGGAAATCCTACTCTGACAATAATAACCTGTTTCAAACTTTTAATGTGAACTCGTTGCCTGCTCAGGTACATTCTACCTCTCTATTCACTATTACACCCTTTAGTATGTACTCCAGCCAATGGCTTCATGCACTTCCTTATCAATGGCTTCTTAATGAGACTGGTAAACAAGCCTTACTCAGCCTCTTCAGAATTGACATAATGTAGTATAGAGAATTACCGTTTACAATTAAAGTTATTACTTGATATTACTGACATTGTCTATGAATTATTAAATGTCCCCAACAATGTGAATGCGAGTTAAAGGCGGAATTATACACGGGAGAGATTCCACCCGAGAGACCGCATTTCCATATCGCCCTCTAGGACTGTTCATCTGAGCTTAGAATTTAAATCTTAAAATTTGAGCGATGGTCGCTCCGGTATTAGTATTTTTTCATTTTACTTCTTATATTATATTTATGTTTTTGCTAATATGTACGAGATCCCGTGGACCCCACACACTCGTGCGCGAGCGTGCACACGCACACACATTTCCACGTTTAAAGGACTTCCTCAGTGTGAAATCAGAATGAAATGAATCAACCCGTTACCTATATACATTAGCTTGTGTATGTCTTCCGCCACCTCTTCTCTCGTTAAATTACTGCAATGAAAACATGTAGAGACATAGTGGGGATGATTGGTGAGCAGTAAAAAGGTAACGCTATACAATGCATTTCAAAATCAGTTTGATATCCTCGATACACGCGATCAGCCCCGTGTAACGTGACAGAGATTCCCCCACGATAGAGATAATTCATTTGTACAGGTAAGCCTCGCCCTAGAGATTGACCCAACTAGGTCAGGCTAACCTTACATATTTGGACCCTCAGTTTCGTTAACGTTACACCGGTTTTCTGTTTATCGTGGATTTTGTCAATCTTGAAGCGATCTCAACTTCTTGGGTGGGAGATTTTAATTGTTAATTGTAATTTAACTAAGTTAATTGTACAGAAACAGCTTCATGCATATACACAAAAATAACAAAATTTAATGCATTTCAGGCAGAATATCAGCTATTTCAATTCCTAACAATCTGACTGGCACGATATTACCCATAAAGCATACTGACCATGTCTGATTCACAGTGGCGTTAGAACTGGTATTAGATTTTGGGTCTCGGACGATAAATGGCCCTAAAATATTAATGACACATTTTAGTACCGACACCGCATATTGTTTTGATAAGATGTCGGTGCCAAAGGTACATCTTAAATTATATTTTATGACAAATTCGACACCAGAAATGCCGACATTTCGACATTTAAGAAGAATTCTGTCTGAAAATATAAAAAATTAATGATAAATAAAAATAGTATATTTCAACTTTTCCTGTCGAATCGAATTGTTTAAATGTTAAAGGAAAATGTTAAATGAACGATGCCCTAACCAAAAGAGAAGCACACTATTACAACGACCACTATTACAATCTGTTTGTCGCCAGTCACGTACCTATTAGGAATCCCGCGGCGGCACCGAGTACAGTGAACATTGAAGTAATGGTAGTCACAGTGGTGCGCTGAGACAAGGGAAACCATGTGTTGGAAATCAGGGGTCCGGCCATGCTACCCACCGTGGACCCCATGCCGTTCAAGAACTGGCCAGAGTGAATGAACCTGAATTATTTATTTATTTATTTATTTATTTATTTATTTATTTATTTATTTGAATAATAAACACTAATAAACACTGAATAATAAACACTAAAATGCTTTCAATGAAAAATTTACAAGAGCATGGGAATTAATCAGAAATAATTGTAATGTTTTCTGACCCCAGAAGAGCACGCAGAGAGCTCACGCCTCTGCCAAAACAAATTATCTAGGCCAATATTCGATTTTCAAGCCCATTTTATTATCTCCCCCTTTTCCACACATTACGCATCTTTTACGCAAACTTTTGCTGTTTCTATTTCATTAAATAAGTACTTTCACAATAATTTATAAACAAAACTGGAGTGCATGCTAAAATAATGAAATATATGTGCTCAGGTAATTGTGTTAGTTGTTTCATGTACGAGGTGTGACAACGCATTGTCTCCCAAGCCTTCTGTCGTCTGCTGAACAAAGCCCATTAGTCCTCGCGTGTTGTATGTCTCTTCCTTCTTTAAATTCATAAATTACTGCGACACACTATAAAAATTTGATAGCTATGTTTTCATCAAATAATTAAGGAAAAATAAAAAAAAGGTCACTGACCATGTTGCTGACTTTGGTTCCATTGTTATACACCGCAAGGCGGCGCCCACTGCTACGACAAAAGCAGAGGCAAGACAAGCCCAACGTAGTCCTAAATAAAACACGACCTAACATTAATTAGATTCCGTTTTTCATTATATGTTTCCTTTCCAACTATGCAAGAAAAATTGTTTAATGATTGTCTAGATAGCGTAGACAGGATATTCGTTTATAAGATATGGAATGGGATTGGGTTACATACAAGATTAGTTTATATAATATTAACAGACTGTGATCGAGTCATTTTGACATTCCCAGGCAATCGGGACTGAAAGTGACATTACTACAAACCAACGCTAAAATTAACATAAATAATGAAACAACAGAAGAAAGAGAAACTGTGTGTGTGTGTGAGAGAGAGAGAGAGAACATATGGAAGAACAAAAAGATTAAGAATGCAGACATAAGACACATGGGTACATGTGCACTTGTTTTCTCCACCGCTTTTTTTCACTTTCACCTAAGTTTACCTTTCTCATCCATGATCCACGTGAACCCTAACGACGTCAACAAGTACGAGATCGGCCCCCAGTTAGACAGTAAGTCTATAGTCCTATCATTCCAGTCAAAGACATATTCGGCGCTTACAGTAATGGGGCCCCATGTATTCCAGATCACTGACTGAATTAAGGAAAACACACAATAAACAAAAACGATATACCATCGCCTCTTGTAGTAGACGGGGGTGAAATGTTTATCCGGCCCCACGGTCGTTGTGGCAGGAGAGGGAACTGGCGGAAATACACCGCTTACAGGCTGACCTGGGTAGACATATTTGGCTGGGAGATTATCTTCAGCTGAGACGTTCACACTGCTTCCGAACTTATCCTCATCACTGTCACTGTGATCACTGTGATCCTCATTAATTAAATGCGTTTTACCACCATCCCCCGCCATGATGCCCCAAGCGCTGCTAGCGTTCTAAAGTCGCGTTGCACTTTAAGATACGTGCAGAAGAAATAATTAACCAAAAGCAGCTCGGGTTGTCCATATATAAGTAACAACGTCGGATGGTAAAATGCATGCGGGTCTCAAAACGCATATGTACCAATGTCATGCACATGAGTTTTCACCCGTGCTTTAATTTATGCGAATTATGATACAGGTATGCGATCCCTCAGAGCTTTAACGTGTGATAAGTGACGCAGGTCTATGTTATAATGGGTCCACATACGAATAGTTTACTAAATGGTAGAACAACAACCGCATGTTTGTTTGCTGGTGACCCTGCAAGATACCCCGGTCATGTGCCTAGATAAGCCTCCATTAGTTTATATTTAAACCAAGGGAAGAGTAACGTCTTGGAGATTACAACCGACCCACGTGATCCCCGGCACGTGACCCGCTGTATTTAAGTCGAATACATGTTGTAAAATGAACCATGGCGGGAGAAAAGCAATAGCTAATTTCTCTCACCATCATCAATTTTGAAAAGCTTTTTCTTTTTCCCTTATATTTAAATATGCCATGTGAATGAGCGCCTTAAAATTACTTTTAAGTACTTTAATCGGCTAGGAAATGGTGAACGCTACTTCCAGGTTAACAGGCTCGACAAATTCTAGTTTGAGAATTTATTTTTAATTTCAAATTGGCTTAGTAAGTAGAAAAAAATTAACAATCAACTCATGGAAAAACTTTAATGCTATTCTGTACTTAAATCCATACTTAACAATCAACTCATGGAAAAACTTTAATGCTATTCTGTACTTAAATCCATACTTAAAACTCGCTCACACGGTGGATTTGACCCTCCCCCATTGAGGGGGTACCTGTTATAAATGTTTTAACATTTATAACAGGTACCCCCTCAAATCCAGAAAAGCACAGAACAGCGTATGTTAACATAAATAACATAACATATTAAAATAAATGGTATAAAATGTATATATTTTCACCACTATTTTGTATTACTTTAAAAATTAATCATGTTAGACTCGGTATCTGTAATAAAAAGCACTTTTTCTAACAATTTACAACTGTGAGGTGGTCATTTGTAAATAAAAGTACATGGAAATGGGGGTGGGACAACCTTTCTGACCAATGTTGTAGGCAATGATACGACAAGATGAACAAAATGAAGAAAAACAGCTGAACTGTTTCTTGTTGGCAAGACCGACGTTACACATGAAAATTGGACAAAATCTTCCGGGTAAAGTGTTTGCAGAGATTTGTTTGACGTCATGAATCAATTAAAGTGGCCAGATTGGCCAGTGAGCCACATGCCTGGTCACTGTTTAATCACCACAGTTTTTTTTTTTTTTTTTTTTTTTTTTTTTTTTTTTTNTGTTTGAATTTGTATCATGCTGTATTTACTTAAATAAATAAATAAATAAATAAATAAATAAAGTTATCGTCCTCTAGTATGAAACATACAGAGAATCCGATGGTCTACAAAGTATACCCGATCTCATTCCATATGCATATTCATTTAATATATAAACACCATATTTAACTTATCAGATCCAAAAATAAATAAGTTGCTTACTCTTTAAAAATACTCTTTGAAATGGTATTCAACCTCTATTAAGTAATATTCCGCACATAAAAAGACCACTGGATCCAAAGGAAAACAAACTGCCGTCTGGATATCGGTCAATGGGCCATTGTACCTAAGAGTGCATTCCGAACAGTAGACTAACCGTTCCGCGGATCAAATATGGCGACCCACTAAAAAGCTCGCCGCTTAATTTCTGATCAGCATCAAGCTGTCAATGTGTCGGCCATATTTGATCCGCGGATCTGTAAGTCCGCTGTTCTGGTGCGCTCTAAGTCTTGTGTGTCCTACTTTGGGCCGAATGCCTCTTTCGGAGTCTCTACTGTAGGGGGCACCACTGAAGCATATGGCGGAGGCTGGGCGATGTAGTTGTTGGTTATTGAGCCATAACCTGAGAGACAACAAGAAAATATGGGATTAGATCAGTTATGATGTTATAAACAATGCGGATCCGGGGAAGGGCAGAACGGCCACATGTCACTCTCTCACCTCCTGAGGTGTTCCATTCTCATTACTTTCCTTCCCAAAAACTAAATGAACGAAATTACCCCCCCCCCCCCCCCCCCCACACACACACACACACACTGAAAATATCCTATTCTCTGGAGGCAAACATGGATATTTGAAATGAAGTGGATGCGGTTAGCATGGGAAAAGAAACAAGATGATCATACGATAATCGCTCCTACTGTCCTTTTTTCAATGATGTCAATTTAGAAGTGTCAAAAGGAGCTGTTGTTTTACCATTCACCTACCTTGCGGGACATCACAATTCACTGGAACCCCGGTGACTACCAGCTGGCCTCGTCTTGCTGCGGAGCGACGTCTATAGATCAGGAACACTCTCAGACTCACCAACATCACCAAAAAGAAAAATCCACAACCGACACCAACTGCAATATATACTGTTTCATCCACATATTCTGAAATGTAACAAATGATTATGAGAACAAATCTAATACGCCTTGACAGCTTAAACGTTGCACAAAAGATCTTTTCAGATTTAATTCAAAATGAATTCCAAAACGTAGATCTATGTTGAGATCTTTGACCATTCAGATTCCAAATGTTAACATTTCTTTTAGAAAACATATAACAGTGGGCCCGTTACGAACGAAATAAAACAGAATTTTCTACAAATATATTGAAGAGGAATAAAAAAAAACAACAAAAAACTTCGATTTTGCCTGTCATAATATGCTAATTCCACACGATAAATATAGGCCTATCTATCTATTTTTACCCTTAATCCCCTGACCATTTCTTAATTTCTAGTACTACTTGTATATCAGAAATAATTTGTACTTACTCACGCCACCATAAACTTCATAAAGATCCAAACTGAAGTCAAAATTGGTTTTTCCGGCGCGGCCAAGTCTGATTGTTAAATATTCAGAGGTTGTTTGGAACGGTTTGATTGGGGCCACTGAACAGGAGTAGTGCTTCAGCTTAAATATGATGAAACAATTGGCAAATCACAACCAATTCTGATAATCATGCCCTCTTTCAAAGCAAAGAAACATAAAGACTTGATTAATACATGACACTCGCTGAACACTCTCTCTCTCTCTCTCTCTCTCTCTCTCTCTCTCTCTCTCTGGTATTTTGCATTAAAACATGTAATGTCTCTTTAATGATTCTATTCCGGCACCATCACAACACGCTTCAAATATAAACTGACATTCAAAAATGCATGTAAAGAAAGTTAAATAGTTATTAAAATGCTGGAGACTGTAATGGTATATCTTACATGTACAACAGATATCTATCACCAAATATTCCATCTTAATATGAAAAAAAGAGCGGCTTTGTTGAACGATCTTTCGTACAAGACCCACAACAGAAACCGCTAGAAAAATGTTCGTAAGTCCTTATAAAGCATTTAGCAAAAAAGGAAGAACGCACCAGCCTCGAATTTGTTGATGGACCATCGTAGAAAGTCAAGTACGCTTCCGAAGAACATGGTATGTCCATAAAGTTACTTATGACTTTGACGACGTCACTGGAAACCCCTGTGTAGAAATGGATGACACAAGAGGAGTTGGTTTTTGATCGTATGCCACTGGACCAAGCTTCTAAAGTTGTTGATGAGTAGGTAAACACGTACTTTTGGTCGGAGGAACAGTCATATGCACTATCGGCGTAGTCTGGAAGTAGACGGAAATCGTTTATTCCTCGTTGTACATCTGTTTTCATCAGATAATGAAAAACATCAATTTGTCTTCTGGGAGTAATGTGATGTTTCATTTTGTTTCTTATCAAGGTAAGCAGGTTTTAAACAAAATCATTTCGAAGCAAAATGTGCTCAATAAGTGACTGATAAATAGTGAAATAGTACATGTACTGTATGTCTATGCATACAATTCCAGGGACGGACCCAGGAATATTTGAAGTGGTTCCATTTTTTTTTTCTTTTTAGGAATGGCAGGCCTCGGATGCAAAGCCGATTCTCGGTTCCTTGTCACGGGTGTTTTGGTGGACAAACGGTGCAATTTGGGACGGTTTGGTACTGTACTTTAGCTAGTCAAAATTCTAACTTTAAGAGGGGAATATTAATGTAATTTTTTTCAGGAACCAAAGTGGGGATCATGACCCCCCTGACCCCCCTCTCCCCTTAAACCGTCACTGAATTAATCGCATCATGATGAATCATGTGTTTTATCAAAAACTTAATTTTTCGTGATGTCCAGGATTCCAAAAAAAGTTTCAACCCTCTTCGTTATCAAACAAATATTTTACTATTATTCTTTACACAATCCGTTTATTGATTTATGAAATTTGTATATTTGTTTTGCTTGCTTGTTCAAAGAGACCGAGGATTTATTAATGCTTCTTGTACTTTAACAACCCTGTATCCAATCTCCAGATTACATGTTATTTGTGTTTTCACTTTCAGTATTGTTCTCAAAAGCCATCACACAATCTTGCCATTAAAAGACTGCAACTACGTCAGCCAATATGTCTCAGCCATTGTATATGAAAAGGAAAACAACTTTCACGTGAGATTTTAAAAATTCCACAATAAATATATTACAAGCTACACGTAAATATAATAAATTCCACTTTGCCACCAAAAACGGCGGTTATCATAATTATTTTGGAATCTGTGCTCAACGCATGCCATCGGACCACGTGTACGTTATGTAAAGAGCTACCCTCCGCACTAATCTATTTTAAGAGATTATTACGAAAACCACACTTAAAAAAACAATCAACTATTTTTGAATTTCGAAACAGATTTTTGAACCATTGAAAGATATGGGAAAATTGTCGTTTACTCCAGGAAATCCATTTCATGGCACTTTTCCCGCCAAAATGAAGAGTTGTTATCCCTTTAAGTCATATAATAGTTATCAGTCATAAAATCCATTGTAATGATTGGTTCCCTTCCTAATTCTTTTAAAGGTGTCAACCCTGTCGCGTTATCTGTAATAAGTTAATGATATATTCAGATGGACCATATCGCTGTTCAACCATCCCAGAGGGTATTGACTCTGCGTTTAAGATTAAACTTTTTGATTTAGGAATGACTTATTTGACATACATGATAAAAGGTTTGACATCTGAGACAATTTTATTGCGCAATTCTTTGACACTCTCAGGTTTCGGAAACAGAGTATTAATTCCTTGATATTAAATAGGATTTACGACAATATGCTCCATTTTCTTTACCATTGTTAATTTTTTTAATTTGTATCATCCTTATCCCTAAGTTTCAGTGCGTCTAATCAAGGTCGCAAACTGCAACGTTTAAGTTCAAACTAATTTTCAGAAGGGATGGTTTCTTTTTTAATCTTTAAAAAAAATGACCAGAGTCTTGCAATAATCGTAAAATCAAGCGGTCGGGTCAGAAATAATGGAAGACGAAGACATATTGACATAATTTGTACTGGAATATTTTGTTGCTTGTTTTCTGCTTATTGAGTTCTGTAGAGTTCCAGCTTTACACGACATTGCGTATACATCATGTTTTTTGAATAACCTCCATTCAGGAGATATACTTGCCCCCCCCCTCCCCCCCCCCTCCCGCCCACCTATTGAATAAGGAAAGGCAAGTATAGGTCAGGGAGAATGGCACCATCATTTCTGCTGAGATTGGCTGCAGTCCTCGTGATATGGATGACTTCACATAGATAGCCTCCTTCCTTGATGAAGATGCTCTGTTTGACATCGAAATATTGGAGGTAATTTATTTCAGTATTAAGCTGTTGATTGGAAAAAAAATTATTTTAATCTTATAACATAACACAGCTGATGAAATGCTTCTCTGAGGGCATCTATAATGCTGGACGTATAGACCTGAAAGTATACTTACATATTTCGCCTTGTGTCTGAGAAGAAAGGCACACCAGCGTTAACGTTAATACCAGCACGTAATATGACATTCTCCACGTTTGCAATGAACTTGTAGACCTTTCTGCAAAAAAATTGCAATCACAGAATCTAAAATAAGTGGGACATCTCCCGCATATGTACATGTATTTACATGAACAGCTTAATTCTACAAAGATTGGTCTCTCTCTCGCTCTCTCTCTCTCTCTCTCTCATTGGGGCAATGAAACCAAATGTAATTGTGTGCCTCTTGGTCAACAAACAAATACTACATGTACAAGTAGTATAATCTAGTTTTACGCTTTAATGTCCAGTCTATGGTATTGTGTTTAACCTTATAAAACTTACATGAATATTATTCCAATGTATAATAATGAAACGGAAGAATACCCATGCCTTAGTCTATGTACATTAAAGAAATTCCCTTTTGGACGGGGAAAGTACGCTCGAGCTCTAAATCAAAACTGAACTAAGTAGAGTGTATGACATTTCAAAAGTTGGGCCAACTACCGGTACGGGAACAAGGAGAATGACTTTTCAAAGGAAGATCCAACACTATGATTTATCATCTTTAAAACTGTTGGCTACAGGTCTGATAAACAGACCGGCATCCCTCAATTGGTGTACCTCAATTCCAAGGAATTACTATCAAACAAGGACACAATTACACCCCGTCATATGAAATGATGACAACAGAAATGATCTTACCCTCTCTGATTCTTGTTTGCAATAGATTGCATTACAGAAACGAGAAGGGCACACAGACCGCTGTTATCTTGAAGTTCAAACAAACACGTTCATATTGTAAACTTGAACGTCATATATCTAAGATATGCAGCCCATAACGCTGCCCTGAGACATGTTCACAACTGGACTAATATAAACCGGAAGCAGCCTATCTGACGTCACCAGGCAGACAGACAGACAGACATAGTTTGTAACAAGTGCAAGCACTGGGTCCCTTTGTTATGTTGTTGTTGTACGGTGGCGTTAGTGGGGCTATTTTCGGTTCAAGTATTTACGGTTGTAAAGGCAAAATATAAAATCGAATATAAAGTCGGAAATACAATTAATTACATTCAGCTCACCGTCCATTTCTTTATACAAACAGGAAAATTGAAGCTATGAGTCACAAGACAGGTAAATATGTTGCAGAATTTACTTCAATTGGAGTATATACCTGTATATATATATTTTTTTATTTCTCTCTCTCTCTCTCTCTCTCTCTCTCTCTCTTCTGTATGGTGCCATGGTCGATACGAACCCCGACGACTTATGATGTCATTTTCAGCATTCCATTCTTTCCCTTGAGTGCTAATCCCTGTGTTTTCCTTTAGATGGTTAATGCCCCTATTTCACACAGACCACGAATCCCACGAATGACCATGAATTGACAAATTTCAGGAT